TGTGTGTGTGTGTGTGTGTGTGTGTGTCCTCACAAGTATAGTAGAATGCAGATTTCGGTCCTCACAAAGATAGCTAGACAGGAACACACACACACACACCTCATATTTGGCAGGAGGGGCTCTCTAACAGCAAATCATTTCTCTTCTTAATCAAACATAATGAGTCTAACGTGACTGAGAAAACTCAGGAGAGAGAGGAGGTGAAGCGGGACGTCAGGTGACTGTGTGTCAACAGCCGTGATTGGATGTCCCGAGAGGACGAGCGAGGGACTCAAATGAGTATAGAAAGGGGCCCAGGAAGCTCCAGGTTGGTACTTCCACTGTGATTGGCTCTGGGGGCACCAGAGGAGATGCTGACACTGAACTCTGGTTGGATCTATGACCAGCTTTGTTCTGCTTGAATTTACAGTATCAATTCAGCAGGATTTGTCTCCCTGTTTCTTTATCAGAGGAGGACCGTCGGACGTCCTCATCAGTCAAGCTCTGCCCTGTGCTCTGGGTACGACTCACTGGATCAGAGCCTGGACTAAACAGAGAGCTGATCCACACTTCCTGGTTCCACAGGTCGACAGCATGGTGCGACTCACCTGTGAGGACGTCTTTTGTCCGTACCACTCCACCAGCGTCTTCCCTGGCAGTGGAGTTTCTCCTCTGCACGGCAGGACGACGGCCGGCCACAGCGCCGAGCTCCCAGCGTAACCCCAGACCAGCTCCCCCTTCAGGACAAAACACACACAGATGTGTTCACGCGAAACACTGTTAGTTTCTGTTGCCATAGCGACCAATGTGTGAGCAGGTGATTTCACAGTAAGCTAAACTGAGTCGACACCAGCAAACACACTTTGCCATCGCTGCCTTCAACAAACGCACGCCGAGTTTCACATTTTTGTACAAGACGCTGCAAAATAAGAAACTGCCACGGTGTGAAAGCGCTGAAACTTTCTGATGTCCTTAAACGCATCGTTTCATGTGACCGCCGCCTCCAAACTCAGTTTTCTGTTATTTGTTACCAACAAACTCAAACTGTCCCTGATTGAGAAGAAAAGTTTGGTGCTTGGCTGTTCAGCTGAAATGTTGTGCAGATGCGTCACACGACGCCTGCAGTGACACATCACTCATGAACACAGTAAACACAGACAGTGCTGCTAGTTAGCAGCTGGTGTGAAATGCCTTACAGGTGGTTGTTCCCGCGCCGATGCTACTCGGGTCGGCGTGGCTGCCGAATCCTCGTCATCGCTGCTCACGACAAAATCAGACTTGGCCTGACGATTTCTGTGACCTGCAAACGAGACGAGAAGCGGCTGAAGCAGCTCCGCGAACAAATACAAACAGAAACGGCCCTTTCTTATTGCACCGGTGTGACATTTCTTACTGTGCAGCTGCCTCAGTCTGTCAGCCCGACACATTCTGGAAGCTTCTGTAACATCCACCACATCTGGATAAAAACAGGACACGCAGTCACTGATTAACATCAACGAGGCGCCACATCAACTTCGTGTCAGAGCTGCAAACTCCGGCGTCAGTCCTACCGGAGGAGTTTTCCGTGTCGCCCGACTCCTCCGTGCTGCTGTATTCCCTGGAACGCACAGGTGGTCTGGATTTGGTCCAGTCGCTGTCCTCCGATGAGCTCAGTTTGTCCACTTCCTGTTTCCTCTCATTATCGTGAGCTGTCTGGTGACGGACGGGTATCTTCCTCCTGCGGTTGTTGGGTCTTCTCGCCCACATCCCCGGTTCAGGCAAAGCTTTGGAGGCTTCTCGGCTGTCAGGAAAAGTCTTGGGGATGTTCGACACCTTGGGATTAAAGCAAAGACAGAAAAAAGGGAAATTATTTATCCCTTCCCACCTGGGTCGTGTGGGCCACTCACATGGCTTTGACCTCTCACCTTAGCAAACACCTGGGTCCGGTGCAGCGAGCTCGGCAGGGCCAGGAGGGTCAAAATGAGCCTGCGCAGCGTCGAGCCGGGGCTGACTTCGCTCACCATCTGCAAACAGACACGCGTCGTCTCGGCTCACGCACAGAGCTTTTATCCATGTATTTACTGCAGTAACCACACGTGTGGACGTTCAGGCCACGCTGGTGCTCTCACCTTTGCCCAGGAAGTAGCTTCTCCGCTTCTCGTCGCGTGAGTCAAACTGAGGTAGTCGTCCTGAAGTTGATCGGCTTCTGAAGAGGCGGGGTCACACAGACGCAGCTCTACCGCCATCTCTGACAGCACGCTGCTGGATAGCTTATTCTGAGGACAGGATGTTGCATTGCAGAGTCATTAGCAGCAGGTACAGACGGCATCTTATGAACACAGCGTAACAAAGTGACCTTTAAAGCGCACAAATCCTGCAGCCTGACAGCAGCTCACAGGAGCAGCAAGGACCGTGTGTGGGTCAGAGCATCTGGCTAATCTACCTACAGCACACATGTACTGGAAGCTCTCTCTCTTTGGGGAACTGGCGCCCTGGTTATCGTCGCCGCCCTCAGGTCTAAACGTCATTTGAATCGACTACTCAGGAAATCAGAGACAAATACCATGTGCAGAATAATTTGGTGTATATCAAAGCAGCTTTGATTTCACACACTCGAAGGTGATTCATGATAAAGTAAAATGCAGATTTGAGGAGGGAATCCGACTACGAGCCAGGAAAATCCTGCTGCAGCCGCTTTTCTTAGACTACAAGTCGGCCGGGAATCAAACCAGCGACCTTCAGTGTACCAGCCCTGCTCTGCCTCCAGCAGCACACAAACAAAGACGTCTTACGCTGACTCTGTGAGGGTCTTTCTGGACGAGGGTGATGTTCCTCAGCGCCGAGTCTCCGAGCTGCTCGGGAACGCTCTCGACCACGCTCCGCAGCGCCGCCTGGTAAAACACCCGCGCGTCCTTCATGAAGTCGGCCCTGTCCTCGTCGTCCAGATCCACGGCCGGGGTGGCCCGCAGGAGGTTTTTGACTCGAGCGCCCACTTTCACCTCGGCTGCGGGCAGCAGCTTCGCCTCGCTGCTGAGCAGCTTCACGTCTCGCCTCCTGAGAAAGTCGTCGAGGGCGGCCGGCTGCAGGACCCTCGCCGCGTACGAGTGAAGCAGCACGAGCGTGAGCTGCAGCTCCACTCCGACATTCGCAGAGCCATACTGCTGCAGCTCCTGGAGCGCCCGGAGCGGCTCCAGCGCGTAGGCGAGGAACAGGAAGTGTAGCTCAACTTTCGGATCGGTCAGCCGGACGGTGATTCGCTGGGTGCTGATGCGCTCGGCGTCCACGGCCAGCGCCTCAAGTTTAAAATACTCCACCAAATCCGTCCAGCAGCCCGCCATCTTCTGCACGGCGTGGATGAAGAACAAGCACTGCGAGGAGACGGGGCGGGACAGGTTGTGGTGCTCCACGTCCGCAAACAGCTCCTTCAGGCTGTCGTTGATGGAGGCGCAGGTGGAGTAGTGACGGTGGATGTCTTTCACCAGGTCGACCACGTGACTGAAGGATGTGAGGAGTCCGGCCTGGCACGCTCGTCCCGCCATCCCAGGAAGGCCGCAGAGCGATACCAAGCTGGGGCTGAAAAGCCGGAGCTGGGCTTCAAACCTCCGGCTCACCTGTGGGGGCGGAGCATCACAGTAAAACACAGCCAGGTTGGAGAGAGGAAGGCCAGCCTCCGTCAGCGCCTTAATCAGAAGGTCTGGATCTGACTCCGGGGCTCCGACTGCCGAATCCACGCTGAGCTGCACCGCGAGCAGCGCCCTCACCACGCTCGCACCAGAGCAGCCGTCGAAGTAGCCAATCAGGACGATGCTCGTCCTCCGGCCCCCGCCCAGCTCCACCCCGACGTGCAGGTACAGGCAGTACGGTGTGCTGCGGAGCGCGTTGATGATTTGGCCGGTCGGCGTCAGGTTCACGTCATCGTGGCAGTACTGTTTACTGAATCGCAGCAAAACATCGCCCTCGTCCACCAAGGAGTCTGTTGACTCCGCCTCCTTCACCTGCTCAGGCGGAACACACTCGTCTATGTTTGTTACCGACTCCATCGTCAGGTCCACCACGTCGTCCTCGTCGTCGGAGATCAGCGAGATTACATCATTTGCTTTTTCTTGCTCTATGGTTTTACTGTCCGTCGTCACGGTGACGGCGAGTTTCTGATTCGGCAGGAGAAATGCACCACCTGCGGGGGGGGGGGAGAGCGTTAGGCGACAGCTTTGAAGTGAAGGTTCACATATTAAACTTCTGGCTTTAAAACGAGCAGCAAAACATTAAAGCTTCAACGTTTCTGACCCACTTTTATAAACTATTACATAAAAGATATTAAATAGATTAAATAGCCTGTGGCAAATGTTTTAGTGTTGTCTGGTCACTATACATACTCTATGCAAAGTATAAAAAAAAATGATATTTTCACAAAGAAACTTCTTGTAGTTTTGCGACATGGTGCTGCTTTACGTGCACCCGGATATGCGTCATGCTTTACGGCAGAGATGTGCGGATCAATCCTGAAATATCGATTCCTCCGATATCAGTCATTTATGTTCTAGAATCAATTCTCACATTAAAATATCGATATTTTAGTAATTTAGGGTAAATTTGTAGTTTATCATTAACACAGTGGAAAGAAACTATAACACTGGAAGGAACTACTTCCTCTTCCGCCTTTCATAGTCATGTGCGAAATACGGCTGCATAACTGTGTGGCAGCCCCTGGCGTGCGCACTCACAACAACGGCTGAGCGTAAATGGAGTCATGTGTGGACGTGTTTTACCTCCACAAACAGCCAAGACGCGGTTTGCGATGTGGCAAGACAGTGAGGTTTTGTGGCAGCTCCACTGACCTCATCAAACACCTCAGAATAACTCATATCACAGAATATGACGAGCTTATGTTGAGGCGAACTGAAGAGGAGGAGAGGGACAGGTGCTGCTAGGGCGAGACAGACGTCTGTCGCAGAGTCCTTTAGTGCTGAACATGCTCAAATGGCAGGTTTTTTTTAAGTATACAAGTTATACAAGTAATCTGACTTCCTGTAATCATTATGAAGCTATATTATTACAATTACATAATACAATGATATATTGTATTATGTAATACAATGAAACATCAAGTTTTTGTATCGTATCGGATCAGTATCGTCGATACCACCCTGAATTTTACTTGGTATGAGATTGGAAAGGAAATCAGTGGTAAATGGCCTGGATTTGAATACACTACATCCACTCATCCACACACACATCCACACACTGGTGATGGCAGCTACATTGTAGCCACAGCCACCCTGGGGCGCACTGACAGAGGCGAGGCTGCCGGACATTGGCGCCACCGGCCCCTCTGACCACCACCAGCAGGCAACAGGTGAAGTGTCTTGCCCAAGGACACAACAACCGAGACTGTTGGAACCGGGGCTCGAACCGGCGACCTTCCGATTACAAGACGAACGCCCAACTCTTGAGCCACGATCGCCCCTGGTATCGCAATCACTGCTTTACGGTAACTCAAAAACGATGGACGCTTGACAGGTTGCAGCTTCATGCCCGGACATGCACCAGGCAGAGACGGCTGCACAGGCAGCCCAAGAAGAAGCACTTTTACCAACAGAGGGGTACGTCTGTGATTTGGTTACTTGTTGGGTTCAACAGCACCAACACGGAGCAGAAGACGCCCATTTGTAAGCTATGCTATAAAACTATTCCCGCGCCCGATGGCAACACAACAAATCTCTTGTATCACCTACAGAAGGCCCACGAAGAAGAATCCAGAGAATCCGAGCTAAACCAAGCTGTGGAACGACGGGAGCAAGTTGGGAAAGAAAAACTATACCAGCTGAAGATGCAGCAGCCTTTCACACGAGGCCCGTATGAGAAAACGTCCCAGCGCCATAAACAAATCACAGGCGCCGTCTCGCGTTGCATTTGTAAAGGCATGGCCCTGTTTATGTAGTTGAGAAGGACGGCTTTCGTGACCTCGTCAAAGTCCTTGATCCGAGGTACGTTATGCCCGGTCGTAAGCACTTCAGTAAAGTCGAGTTGCCTCGCTTATACGACGCATGGCGGCCAAAGTAGAGCAGGATGTTTGCAGTGTCGTGCATTAAGCCTTGGCTGCTGAGCTGTGGACGAGCAGAGATACGCAGCCCTGCATGAGCGTAACCATCCGCTTCATTAACGAAGACGCCGCGCTCGCTGTTGACAGACTGCGGACTTCCCACATGACCACACTGGAGTCATGTTAGCCCAAGGTATGAGTCTGCCGTCGCTACGTATTTACCGTGCATAAAGTACATTATGTGCGTATATACGTGCACGTAGTACTAGTATACATACACACATTAGTTTTACTAGCATATATGATATGCATGTTAGTAAAACTAATATTTTGGGCAGAAAACCTTGAAACTGTTGTGCACTTTAAAAAGTTCATTTTAAATGTATGATTTTGAAAATAAAGAAGGCCACAGCTGTTTTCCTTTGATGCGTTTATATTGCTGCACTAAAATGCACGTTTCTCATTTGTGACAGTTCCTTTAAACCTTCAAAATAAAGTTGGAGAAAAGTGAGCAATGACATCTGTCACACTTTTCAGAGAATAAGTGGAAACATTGTGGTATATCGTGATATATATATCGTTATCGTGATATAAAATTATTCATATCGTGATAAATATTTTTCCATATCGCCCAGCACTAGTTCCCAGCATCGGTTTCCCTGAAAACACGCTGTGTGACACCTGTGCGAGACACACCTAGGTCAGCAGGAACCAGGCTCTGTCCTCCTCTAGCTTCCAAGGCGTTGTACTCCCTGCCATCATTGTTCTCGTCGAAGAAGATCTTGAACCACTGGAGGAAGGTCAGAGCCACGGCCGAGTTCCTCTTCATCAGCGACTCGATGGGGATGTGCTAGGCAGAGCAACAGAGGATCTTTAGGTGCATGTTTCTATCAAAGAACGAGCGCTAAGTCATCCTGCTGTTTCTAACACAGGTGTGCAGCGAGCACTCGCTTTAATGTTGGGACCTGAAAGCGCTGCAACACTCACTCTGATCACTCTGGCCTTCCTGAAAGCAGCCTGCAGCAAGGTGAAGTTGTGCAGAGAGTGCATGATGGTGTCGCACTGGAACTGGACCCTGGAGAGGTCCAAGGAGCCGGGAAACAGCCAGTCCATCAGCTGGCAATAAGCCGCACCTGGATACAAACAGAGCAGGAAGTATTACACATCATTTACGTTATTAACACGGCTTTATCTTTACACTGGTCAAACTGGCTTTTCCTCGTTGCCTGTCATATATGTCCTGTTCCTGTTGCAGGGACAGATGACCTGAGTTTCTAATGATGAGCCCAGTGCAGCGTCAGGGAAACCCTGTAAGCCACACACTCGGGCAGCACAAGTTTTTCCTTTGCGCTCCTTCCTGCTCTGTGTAAATAGTCTTATTCATGGTTTTCTTTTCACAACATGCACCACGAGGCACACCTGCTCAGTAAGACATGATAGCAAGAAAGCTGGGCCACCGTCCACAAACACAGTAGTCCTTTTTAAGAAATGAGTCCTCGTCAGAGGGACAGCTCAGAGTCAGAGGCTGACACGGTTTCAGCATGTGCAGAGGACGGAGGCTGAAGATGAAGCCGCCAAGCAGGAGGAAAAGAGGAAGACCTCAGGGGAGGTTCATGGATGTAGAAAAGGAGGACAGGCAGAGGGTTGGTATGACAGAGGAGGTGGAGGCAGATCCTCCACTGTGGAGACCCCTAAAGGGAGCAGCCGAAAGAAAAGAGTCCAAGGAAAGGAGGAAAGAATAGGAGTGATGTGCGAGCGCCTGTTGGTTTCTGTTAGCCAACCACAGATGGGCTCAGGAGGACGGAGAACTCCACGTGAGAAGTAAGGCGGAGGCTGTTAGCAATGTACCAGCATCAGCCATGCCTGTTAAAACACACCCACCTGTGCATGCCTGCTCCACCTTGGTGAAGCTCGTCTGTAAGGTTTCGTTTAGCCACGCCAGCAGCTCGTAGCGGTTATACAAAAACGTCCCGTTCAGGGTCACATGCACCGCCATCTCCGAAAGGCACCTGCACACACATCACAATGTTTTTAAAATCATACATCAATGCTGCAGCCCTGCACAGACTGGCGACCTGGCCAGGCTCTACCCCGCCTTTAGCCCCATGATAGGCTCCGGCTGGAGGGATGATACATGAGGCAAAACAAATATTACTGAGGCATGCATTACACAAGAGCCTGATGAAGTCAGAGTGACATTTATACACGTAAGAACACTCATGCAGTAATATTTTCCTGTAAGCGCCCCAAAACGAGCCCACGCGTTTGCACAAATGTCTGTCCAGAAGGTTTACTAACAGTTTGAAAGAGCCCGATCTTCCTCTGCAGACCTCCGTCACAGCGTCACGGACACCGGGGTCACACAGTGCTGCTTCAGGGGCTGACCTCTTCCTCTGTAACGACTTCTTCGTGAAAGCGTTGCATTTAGGGTCCCATTAAAATGTCGTTTACTTCACATTCAATCTATAGAATGGAAACGAACGAAATGAACACGAGCGCATTCTAGGCGAAGTTGGAATTCCCGAGTTTCCAGCCGGAATCTTAAACTGTAACCTCCCCTCAAGTCTAATTTACAACTCGGCGCAGCCCTGCCCACCCCGAGTTAACGATCACGGCTGCGTTTACGTGCAAAAACAAAAACACTTCGTTGTATTGCTAAAGACGCAATCTTGCGACAGACAAAACCTTAACACCGGGACGCAGGCATCGGAAATTCCAAAGTTACCGGAACGCAGCACACATTCACAGTGGCCTCCACACCAATCAGAGCAGAGCGGGGGTTATTCTAGCCAATAGAATCAATGGAAGCGGCACCGATGCGCTCTTAAATTTGTTTCCGGAAACTAACACGTGGGGCTGCCGTCGGAATAAAAACAATCTGATCTCAGGTCAGCTGGAGTCATGGTTGCATGTGTGATAAAGTGCGGCTAACAATACAATAGCAACTACAGCATTTAACGGCAATAACACCGCTACCGTTTAGAAATTGTCTCGGAGTTTAAGCGGTCACTCGGTGGTCAGCTACTTTTGTTCACACCCCCACTTTCATTCAGCTGACTTTTACTCCGAGTTCCCAAAAAGATGATTCTGTTCATCTGGACGTTTTCAGTGGGAAAAACGTTTCGCCACACATTCAAGTGCCAGATAGTTTCCCACCTTATAAACAGCACTTTTGCACAATGCCTTAAACTAGCCCACTGAACGAACAATGGCTGTGAGGTCAGCTACACGATCATCATTTACTCAGAGACCTTAATAACACAGCGAGATATCCGCATTAGCTCGCGACGCTGACTTACAACATCAGTACAAGTTTACAGCAAAGTCACAAACGGCCTGTGCGCTGCCGACGGTTTATTCTAGAAGAAATGTACAGTTTTCGTTTAAAATCATGGTGAAAACTTTAGCGAATTCATGCAACAGGCGGCTAACAAACATGGTGGACTTACCTTCTCTGCTCAGCTCGCTCTGACCGATTCAAATACCAAAGGAGTCAGCCTCGACGACCCCCAAAACCCACCCAGCCCTCTGCCGCGGAAAAAAAAAAAGCGGGTGTTTGACCTAGTCACTCAATTTAAAAACAGCCAGAAGTGTGAATAAAATAAAGGCCCACGCCCTTTAACACCACAGGGGTCGAAATTTAACTTTAAATACCAGCTAGCCAAACTCTTTGGTTATGTTAATGTCGCTGTTACTGAAACATCCGGTTCTACAGCTGCTAGCTGCAGTTAGCTTTAGCTCCTAGCGTCACACTAGGCGACATCGGAGTTAGCAGATTTTCCGGTTGGCTGTTCCGACAGCGCTGCTCCACGAAAACATAGCTTTTATTTAAGCTAACCGTTTACACTATTTAAGACAGAGTAGTAGTTGTAGAGCTCTACGGAGAAACCCCAACAATCAGTACTTTGGCGACAGTGGGAAGAAAAACCTTTAACAGGAAGAAACCTCCAGCAGAGCCAGACTCGGGAAGGGAGGAAAAAAGACATGCTGTGGATGAGAGCCAGAGAGTGATTAATAATTCATAATTAAATGCACAGTGGTGTGTAAACACATAGTATGTTATTTTATCTTATTCTATTCTAGTGTATTTCTTCCTTTTTGCTGTTTGTAACTTTGTACTGTCCAATTTCTGCTGTGACCCAACAAATTTCCCACGTGTAGGAGTAATAAAGGTTTATCTTATCTTAAAAGGGGTGAGAGAAGGATAAATAGTTAGTGCATCATGGGACTCAGCCTACACTTTTGCAGCATTGCTAAGGGAGGATTCAGGGTCACCTGATCCAGCCCTGACTACATGCTTTAGCCAAAAGGAAAGTTTGAAGAAAGGAAGGCAATAAAAGAAAAGGATAGGGAAGGAACAGGGAGAAGACAGGAGAAGGAAAGAGGAAAATACAATCAGTGGGTAGAGGAGAAAACAGGGAGCATGGGAAGAGTACAAGGAGTGAAATTAAAAAAGTGTGCGCTTCCTCTCAAGAGCATGGAATAATCCCCAGGCCACACTGCAAAGAAGAGTGAGTGGGAGCTAGCTCATAGTGGCTATGCCTCCCTGAGGCAGCAGAACAAGAACTGGCTTCTCTTACCAATAGAGAGGTTCAACAGCATCACAAAATAATATTAAGGGCTTCTCACAAAAGGTTGGCTGAGTAGGATACTATTGGTTAAAAAATTTCACTAAGCACCACGCAGGGCGTGGCATACAAAAGCATGAATTGCTCTCAGCTGCAAGGGCCGCACCACTGAACAAGCAGGTGGTCAGTCAGTGGTTTCCAGTTTATGACAACCTGCTCTGCACTCCCAGCCTCGAGGGCATGCCTTCCCATATGTATGGAACTGCGATGAGTCTGGTCCACAAGACCAGTACTCCTTAACCAAGGTGCTTGGAGTGATTGGCCAACCATGTCTGGAGGTCTGTGCAGGTGAGAAAGGTGAAACTACCACCGGCATGGCAGCCTTCAATGCAGAATGCATTTTCAGTCAAACTGTGATTATGTTTAAAGGGAAGTGGCTACGATGTGAGTGGCTCCAACAGTGCCCTGAGAATGTTACTGTTCAGGTCTCAGATAATGGCTGGATTAATGATGTCTTCCTAGAATGGGCTCAGTTGTTTGTTCAGTCATTACCTAAGGATGATGCCAGAGATCTAGATGGACTTGCAGACCCCAGACACCACCAGCACCAACAAGCAGACCCCAGACA